CTCCTGTTGTTTGCCAGGAGATTATTAGGATACAAAATGGATGCTGTGGTTTGTACCAGTCCTTTCAGCTCCTCTGTACTAATTAACCCTCCGATGGACGGATGCCAAAGCCAAGCAAAGACCGTTTCAATCTTAGCCATCGCAAACTTGGAGGCAGAATTTGCTGAAGTGAAATTCGGGACGTCACAGATTTCATCCCATGGCTCTGAACAGTGGCTTTCTTGGTAGTAAGAAAGTGGTTTGTATCATTTCACACAAACTGAGTTTGAACTAGCTTAATTTTGAGTCCAAGGTCAGAGGGAGTCGAGGAGACATTATTTTTCCCAGAGAGTTGGTTACGATCTGGAATGCCCTGCCTGAAAGGGTGGTGGAAGCAGATTTGATTGTAGCTTTCAAAAGGGAATTGGATAGGTACTTGAAAAGGAAAGTTTGCAGAGCTATGGGGACAGAGCGGGGGGAGTGGGACTAGCTCAATAGCTTCTTTAAAGAGCCGGCCGGCACAGGCAAACAGGCACGGTGAGCCGAAAGTTCTCCCATACTGTGAGATTCAATGATTCTGAAAGTACTTTCAAGTCGCTCAAATGGTGACCAATTTGATTTCATTGAGATTTTCAGCTTATTGTTGTATTGTTGTGTCTGCTGTGTCAGCGTATGTTTTTCATTGCGATGTTAAGAACTTATGCCAAGTACACACTGTGGAGCAAGCCCTTCTCCCTCTTGCCAAAGAGCCCTCAAAGTTTCAAGGGACAATTTTGCAACAGCTGACACTCATATAGCACCATTCACGTCCTGATGTGCTTCATCAATAATAATAATAATCCTCGCATTTGATATAGTGCCTTATCACTGCTTCAAGATGTCTCAAAGCACTTCACAGAATATACTGTAAAGTAAATTGACTGTATATTTTGTAGGCAAAATTTAAGCGAGCAGTGAGACAGAACAGAAAAAGAGAGAACTTTCACCCAAAGCACGATCAAAGAGATGTGTTTGTAAGAGGGTTTTTATAATAATCCTTGCATTCATTACCCCTGGCATTTGTTACCCTCTGACACTAAACTCGGTGGGAGAGTAAGCTCTGAGGATGATGCAAAAAGATTGCAACGGGATATAGATAGGCGAGGGGAGTGGGCGAGTAGGTGGCAGATGGAATTGAATGTGGAGAAGTGTGAAGTTATTCACCTCGGTAGCAAAAATAGAAAAACAGATTATTTTCTAGAAGGGGAGAGATTAGATAGTGTTAGTGCTCAGAGGGATTTGGGTGTCCTTGTACACCAGTTTCAAAATGTTAGTTTGCAGGTGCAGCAGCAACTAAGAAGGCGAACAGCACGTTAGCATTCATTGCAAAAGGTTTAGAGTGCAAGAGTAGGGAAGTCTCGCTGCTACTGTATAGGGCCTTGGTGAGACCGCACCGAGAGTATTGTGTGCAGTTTTGGTCTTCTTATTTAAAAAAGGACATACTTGCCCTAGAGAGGGTGCAGTGTAGATTCACTCGGTTAGTGCCTGGGATGAGGGGACTGACCTATGAGGAGAGGCTGAATAAACTGGGGCTGTATTCTCTATAGAGTACAGAAGAATTAGGGGGGATCTTATTGAAACTTATAAGATTCTTAAAGGGCTGATAAAGTAGTCACTGAGGATCTGTTTCCCCCGGTAGGGGAATCTATAACCGGGGTCACAGTCTGAAAATTAAGGGTCAGCCTTTTAGAACAGAGTTGAGGAAACATTTCTTCACTCAGAGGGCAGTGAATTTATGGAATTCACTCCCCCAGAAGGCTGTAGATGTCAGTCCTTGAACATTTTCAAGGCTGAGACTGATAGATTTTTTAAAAAGTAGAGGGATTAGGGGATATGGGGAGAGGGCAGGTAATTAGAGTTAGGTCAGAAGATCAGTCATGATCTTATCGAATGGCCTACTCCTGCTCCTAATTCTTATGTTCTTACGTTACATGACCTTTCACGTTGAGAGGATGTTGTAAAATGCTTCACTGCATTTACCATAAAGTGGTCACTGTGTTTTGGGATTGAAAGCGGCAGCCAATTTGTGCACAGCGGTGTCCCATCAACCAGCCATGAAGTGGGTGAACAGTTTTATCTGGAGGATTGTTGACCAGGACACCGGGAGAGAAAGAAACTCCCTTCTCTTTTCACTTGATGGCGTGAGATACTTAACGTCCACCTGAACAGACACAGACAGGACTTTGGGTTGAACGTCTCATCTGAAGGAAGGCGCCTCTGACAATGCAGTGCTCCCCCCAGTACTGTGTTAGTGTCAGCCTTGACTGTCAGCCTGGTGAGGATGGCAATGACGGGTTAATTCAGTTCAGAAATACGTTGAATACTGCTGTAAACCCTATCTCCTGTTGCTGACAAATCTTTGAGCCGAAGAGGAAGTGGAAACGTTTCATATCTGTCAGCTTTCCCAGACTCGAGTGAGATGAGTCATTTCCCATGTCTTGTAACTTAGTTCCCAAAAGCTTTGTCTCCTTGACTTGTGCATCCTGGGCTCATCTGTTCTCATCACAGCTGAGCCCACGGTTGTGTAACTCTTGGCCGGCTGTTTGCTCTCTGAGGACGGTTTGCTTGTTGGCTCCCTCTCTCGGGGGGAAGGGGGGAGGAAGCGCTCCGTTGCTCCATTGGGAATCACCCCAGCACAACATTTTCTCTGCCCCGGGGTAAAGAGAGAGCTTGTCTCCTTTGGTGTTCGTCGAGGCTTATTTCCTCTGTTGGACTTCAGCTTGGCCAGAGAGAGAGAGAAAGGCGAGAGCGTGTGTTGTAGAGACACTTCTCTCAGAGCTTTGGTGGCTGCTAGCCCTGCTGCTCTGAAGCCCTGGTACGTTAGAGGTATGCAATCGAGGAGGTTCACAGCACAGAAAGAGGTCATTCCGCCCATCGTGCCCGCACCAGCTCCCTGACTCCCTCAACACATCTGGGCACAGAGGCCACAACCTCTCTAGTGTGGCTGAAGCCAAAGCCAGGTTATAGAGTGAGGAGAGAGTTAGGTGTGGGTTTGGCAGCAGTGAGCGAGTAGCAAAGTATGGAACAGGCACCTGTTCAGATGGATGTGAAAGATCCAATGCATGATTCAAAATGAGAGGGGTTTCTCTCTCCCCGTGTTCTGGCCGACAATCTCCCAAATAAAATCGGTCACTCGCTCCATGACTGTTTGTGGGATACTGCTGTGCGCAAACTGGCTTCTGTGTTTCGCCTACAAAATACACATTCACTCCACTTTACAGTATAACTTGTGAAGCGCTTTGAGACATCTCAACTATGTGATAAGGCGCAATATCAAATGCAAGAATTTAAGAGGCTTCCACAGTTTTCAAGATGATCTTAAACATTTCAGGGCAAAGACTGGTCTTGTGGGCTAAAGAAGTGGGGAAAGAGGTAGGTGTGAGGTTTGACAGCAGTGAGTGAGTAGTAAATGCATGGAACAAGGTTCCTAAGGGAGACAGATGGTGGAAACAGAAAGTGTCGATTCTTTCAAGAACAAATTAAATCGATTTCTGTTAGAAAATAACATCAGACGATATCTCGGTGGATTTCGGGGCCTCTGATGCCTATGAGCCTCTGATGATTTTTTTATAACTCTCTCTCCTCTCACTTGTATTAATTCCTGACCAGATTTAAAAAATCTCTCTCTCTGGTCCTTGGAGCACACACACACACACAGTGAGATGCGAAAAATAACAATGGATTTGCTAATGAGACATCTGGTAAATCCCGGCAGTGTCCGGGGTTTTTTTAAACCTGTTGCTGGGTAAATTGATTCACTGTGGATTCATGTTGGGACAGACATCTCTGCTGTGTTGTGCCAACTCGCGAGGACACGTACCTACCTATCACTCAGGGTGCCATTGGGGGCTTGTTCCACTGTAGAAGCCACATGATGTACAGGGAGTTGGGGGGTGGACGCTACCTACAATGGACGATGCTCACTGCATGAGGTAGGAGGGAATTCAGCTTGTTTTTCTATGTTGCTATAGCTACCGTCCTGCTACTCGAGCCAGCTGATTAGAGATTCTTTAGCGAGAAGAGAGTTTAGAGAGAATTAAGGAGAGAGAGGAGAGGAAGGAGGGGGAAGAGAGAGAGGTGGGGAGAGAGAGGTGGGGATGAAGAGGGATAGAGAAAGGGGACAGAGAGAAGAGAGTAAAGCGAGGGCGGCTCAGAGCGCTTCGCAGGATTTACTGTAAAGTGTCATGACTTTGTATTCTGTTGGCAAACGCTGAGGCCAATATCCCACAAGCAGCTATTAAATGAATGACCAATTTTAGCAGTGGGAGGAGGGGGTGGGCGGGGGGGAGATTGTTGGCCAGGACATTGTGAAAGACTCCCCTCTCTTTTCAGACAGTGCAATCATCTCTTAAACATCCACTTGAATAGGCACAGACTTGGTGGGGGGGTGGTGGGCGGAGGAGGAGCTCGGTTTAAGGTCTCATTGGAAGAGTATCCGCCGAGACAAAATAGAAGCACGTTAATATGTAATCAACGGAGAATGATAAAGTGGCATTTTGTTGGCAAAGCGGCAATCACTCCGGGACCCTACCCCACATGAGAGGCGCTGTATAAATGCAAGTTGTGGTTCGCGTTGTTGACTGACATTGGTGTGTGTGTATGCGTGTGGTGTGTGTGTGTGCCTGCGTGACTTGTTCAGCGCTTTGGGACGTTCTCCCGACGTGAAAGGTGCGCTATAATTGTAATTTTGTTGTTGTTTTGTTGTTGTTGCGTGTGTGTGTGTGTGTGTCTGCGCCCAATCTTGAGTTAACCACAAGTGACAAGATGGCAAAATAGGTCAGCCTTCATCACACTGTGCATCATATTTTTTTACACCGGATTGACTCGAGATATTCTGTTATTTCCCATTTCCACAGAGAAGCGATGCTGGAGTGCTAAAGTGGCGACACACCACACGTCAAAAAAGCCCCCCTGTCCCCTCCCACCCCCTCCCTTCCAGCCCCCCTCGGCAGCCCCGATTGGGTACGATGAAGCGACAGAGGGACCGTGCCCTGACCCCTCGCAGTGCCTGTTTTCCTGTGTGACAGCAGCTTGAGCCGTTTGGCTGAGGAGGAAATTGAGATGGAGCCAGATTCCGACGAGGATCTGGAGGAACAGGTTGACTACTTTTTCAGTCAGGCGGACGAGGATGGGATGGTCGGGAAGGAGGAGACTCGGACGTACTTCCTGCGCTACTTGCCCGGGTTGGGGGACGGAGCGGGGGTGGTGGGCAAGGTCGGCGAGTTGCCGGAGATTGTGGAGTTGTCGGATTTCGGCAAGGCGAGGGGCACGGTGCTGGGCAAGAGCCAGACGTACAATCTCAGTTACTGTGAGGAGATAGACCCTGCTCACTTGTCATCCTCACCAGAAGATGCCAGTCACATCTGTAAGTAACTCTTCATGTCTCTACAGTAAGGGACCACATAATAATAATAATCCTTGCATTTGATCTAGTGCCTTATCACATCTTTGAGACGTCTCAAAGCGCTAGTGAATTGACTTTATTTTTGTGGACAAAACGCGGCAGCTAATTGTGCACAGCCACGTCCCACTCCTGGATTGAGTGACCAAATTATCACTATTTTTTTTTTGTCGGCTAATAACCGGGTTACTACTTACTGCTGGTAAACACAGGCGTGTGGAGTAAGGAAACTTGTCCAAAGCACCGGTTCCTCTTGCTTGCGAGGCGAGCACTCTAACCACTAAGCTACAGGACTCCACATTCAGGTTGGGGGGTGCAGAGTGGGGAGAGGGCAAGGACCTTCCTCAGTTTCATTCATATCGTTTATTTGTTCCTTTCCACGCCCAGACGACTCAGAGCTGCTGGAGGAGGACGAGACACTTGATGATGGAAATGCGAACCCTGGGCCTGAGAGAGACAGGGAGCTGGACATGACCGAGGACGAGGGGGGGGTGGGGGACCTGCTGCTGGATTCTGACGAGGGCACCAGCCGAGAGCTGGACCCTGAGGAAGAAGAAGAATACTCTGATCTGCCGTGCGATGAAGATGAGGAGATGGAAGAGCTGAGCCAAGGCGGCTTCCAGCAGCCAGCCCAAGACTATAGCAAGAAGCCGGGCACGATGGATCACGGGGACCAGTTTTCAGACTATTCGAATGGAAGTTTGAGTCACTCAACGACTCTGGGCAATAACTCGCCTCTACCACCCATGGACTGTGGACCTCGGCAACCGATGGGTACTAACAGTCCGGAGCACTGCGGAGACAGCCCCTCACTGCTGCCAGGCCACGTGACCGGGCGTAAGAAGATGGCGAGGAAAGAGCCACGAGGCAGTGTCTCGTTTGACGGCTCAGTGCCGTATCTCAACTCCTCGCTGCTGAGCCACTTGTCCGTGGAGGACCTGGGCACTGGGCTGAACATCGAAGCTGAAACCATCCCAGACTCGTCCTGCGCTGACAGCATCGACGAGTCAACCCACAGGATGGCCAGCATGGTGGAGAAGCTGCAGTCTGGGTCTGCCCAAGCTGGTCCTAGCTGTGAGGGCAGAGTGGGATCTGATGGAACATCCAAGCCAGTCCCTCGATACCTCGACTCCCAGGCCTTCAGCCGGACACTGGTTCTGAAGAACGGGTCCAGGGAACGAGCCTTGGCCAGAGGCAACTCGACATCTCCAAACCTCCAGAAGAAAGATGCTCGGGGGACGTCCAGAGAGGATTCTCCCAAACCATCCTCCGTCAGGGAGACCGTGGACACCCCAGTGTACGGCCGCGGGAAGATCAACCACCCGCTGCCCGATTTCTCTAAAGTGGAACCGAGGGTCAAGTTCCCAAAGGACAGCCAAGGTTACCAGAAACCCAAGAGCAAGGCCTTCCTGGTGAGGAGCAAAGTCATTGGCAGCAAAACCGAGGTTTACCTGCAGTCTCCCGCGGACATTGTCCGCCAGGTCTTGCAAAGCAGTAACGAGTGCGAACCGGTCACACCAACCCCCGTGGGGGCAAAAGTCCTGGAGGAGTTCAAGTCACCCCATCAGGCATCCGAGATGGTCTATCAGCTACAGGTCGGTAAACATCACCAGTGGGAATCTGCTGTGGTTATTTGGGAGAGATTTAAGTGCTAAAATAATACAGTAAAATCTTACAGAAATCGTATCTTATCGTATCACTTATGCAAAGTGTGACTTATGTCAAACTTGCACAGAATATAAACTCTTGACCCAGCGGGACTTGGGCAGATGTATGACTTAGGCGCTTATACGAATCATACAGATCAGACTGCTCATGCGAGTTTTACTGTCATAACAATAATTACTTTTAATATAGCGCCTGCATTGTCGCAACACTTCTGGAAAAGTTTCTATTTGTGGGCAAAGGCGGCAGCCAATTTGCACAAAGCAATGCCGCACACACAAACAGCCTTGAAGTGAGCGACCAGTTTTATCTGGGGGGGATTGTCGGACAGGATACAGAGAGAGAGAGAGAAACTCCTTTCTCTTTCCGTATAGCGCCACAGGATCCTTATTCCCTCCCCAACACCCCCCACCCCCCACCCACCCCTCCTAAACACGGCACAGACAGGAACACAGTTTAATGTCTCTGGTGAAGGACAGCATCTCTGACAGTGCAGAGCAAATCCCCAGCAAGACATTGGAACATCAGCCTGGACTGCAGGAGCTCAGACTACCTGACCTGGGGGCTGGAACCCATGACCTTGTGCCTCAGGCTAGAGAGGGACTGACTGAGTTGGGCTGACAATGAACATCACTGACTCAACTCTATTATTTGTTGACAGGAGGATTATCGCAGGCTTTTGACCAAATATGCCGAGGCCGAAAATACTATTGATCGTTTGCGGATCGGGGCTAAGGTAAGGAGAGCTCATGTGAGGGGCAATTGTGGTAGCGAGCTTATGCACATGCCAATAATAAATAATCAATAATAACACTAATCATTGCATTTGATATAGCTAGCGCCTCATCACGTCGTTAAGACATCTCAAAATGCTTCACAGAATAAACTGTACAGTGGATTGACTATTTATTATATAATAATTGACTATAATGATGAATAATAATCGTAAGTATTGTAACCACTTAGATTTTCACAGTGCCTTGCACGTACAGATGGCTCGAACTGCTTTGTTTGTCAGATGTAGTGACTGTTTGATGTATTTTTGTGTGCAGCCCAGAAACACCACCTTTTGTACAATCAGAGCCCAGACAAACATTATTAGTGCCTCGCTGATGCTGATTCTAATGGCAAATGCCATGTCTTGCTATCAGCAACATATCTAATTAATAACAGTGCAACTAAGGCCAGATCAAGCCTGTCTTCTCATGGCTTAAAGGCTGTTGCTTTATCCCAATGGGATTGTGAGACAAGAGGGTGGTGTGGGTGGGGGGGAGTTGAGAGAGAGTCTGTACTTTGGACTGTGTTTCAGTATAACCTCTTGTTTGTATTCCAACGCCCGATTGAAGTAAAATAACGAGGTGTAAAGATAAATATTTTATGATCCCCTCGTTCTCCTTTGATCTGAGCTTTTCCCCTGGTTATCTGTAACGCTCCAACCTCTCCCTACTGTGAGATTTCACGTCATGATTATAATAACAATCATCATCTTCTATTTAATAAAGTGGCTTTCACATTGGCAGGAAGCCTCATAGAACTTCACAAGGTTCACTGTAGTGTCTAGTGTACTGACTGGGTGTTCTGCAGCCAATTAACGCAAACAGCCCACGTGAGGTGAATGACCAAGTTACAAGAGGGATGCAACAGCAACAAATAACATTTACACAGCGCCTTTCACCTCAGGAGGATGTCTCAAGGTGTTGGACAGTCAGAGGATTGCACCCGAGCTGGGGGTTGGAATTCAGAAGGGTGGAGGACGGGGTGGGGGAGTGGATGACCAGAGGCACGGTCAAAGACTGATGGGTTCCGGGATGGAGTTCCAGAGGGTGGGGGCAAAAAGGCTGAAGGCCCGACCACCGATACAGCAGGAAAGACAATAAGCCGACTATCTATGAGAGCCGGGGGGGTGGGAGGGAGAGATTGGCAAACATTAATGACATTTCCGACATGTCTGAACTTGACTGAACAAATGGGTTCAGGTGACACTGAACAGGTGCTGACGCTGGCAGATGTAGCTTGGGCACTAAGCAACCAAACACACTTGTGAACACTGAATAGGTTGACTACTAACTGAAAGCTTTGTCCCCGCCAGGATGTAAGCTCCCCTGGAAGGTTTGCAGTGTGACTTCACATCTCCTTTGAGAGACCAAAACCCACGTTAAAAAACTGGGTTATTGTAAATCAATCCATCCCACTCTTGTCCTTGCCTGTTTCGATCTCACAAGTGGGTTTGCCTGATTAAAGTGAAGGGGCTTTAAGCAAATCAATGGGTTTAAAACCCCCCTCACTAAGCTTCTCTATCCCTTACCCTCTCTCGCTGTCTCTTTGTCTCTGTCTCCCCTCTCTTGCTCTCTCTCTAATCCTCACTGTGTTTCTCTCCCCTTTCTTTTTCTTTCTCTCTCTTTCATTGCCCTATAAATTGTTTGGCATTGACTCTGCTAATACTAAACCACATGGCTACATTACTCCTTATTATCTCACTGCAATTGCCTTGTTTCCTGCTCCGTGTGTGAATGTCATGCTTTGTGTCTTCTAGTGTGTCTGTATTGTGTGTGTGTTTGTGTTGAGTGTGTGTGACTGTGTTGTGTGTGACTGAACCACAATCTTTGTTCCTTGTGTAATTGAGCAGCTGTGTGTTTGCGTTACTGTTCTCGAGCTCTTTAATCCGGGATGAGTTCCCTTGTGATCCAGGCTGTGCAGACGTTCCCTCCTCTCCCCAATTACGCTGTCTGAGAGCAAATGGACAATTACCTTCATTCAGCAGACAAAGAGTTTTATGCTTATTGAACGTGAGGCTGTGTCGCTCATTCACTTCCTGCTCACTCTCCCCCCTCCCTCCCTCTGTGAGAGAAAAGGGCTAAAGGACCCAAAAAGCGATGGGATCAGACTCGCAGAGACTTTCTCTTGACAACAGCAATTGGGGCTCTCTCAATGTGCACTCTGCTGCGCTGCTATGTGTATGTGCTTACGGTCACCTCCCTCTCCCCCTGGCATGTTGTCAGATCTCGCTCTGGGACGCTACCCCACATGGGGGGGAGGTGGGGCGCTATATAAACACAAGTTGTTGTTGTTGTCTTGTACTATTTGCCTTTGGTGTGTTTGGCAGGTCAGCCTGTTCGCGGCGGCTCCCGATCCCGGCCAGAGCATTCCGATGGCTTCCCACAACCCGTGTCTGAAGTTCACGACCATCGCCATCCCCCGGGCGCAGAGAGCAGAGATCAGCCTGGCCCCAAGCCCCGGGGGACACACAGAGATGGACTCCGCAGGTCAGCAATGCCGCTGTCTAGACAACCACCATTCGCATTGACACACAGCTGAGAACCGGGGTCTGAAATTCCGCCTGTATTTAGCCCGCGGCACCTTTCTGCCTTATGCTGTCTGAGATGCCGCAAAGGAAAGTTTCCGAGGCCAAGCTGGTTCCTTTTAAGAGTTGCACAGTGTGTGTGTGAGCAGCTCCCAAAAGGAAGCCCGACAACTGAAGGCCAAAGAATTTTAAGACAAAACAGCCTTGCGGCTAAGACCAGGTAGAATTTCTGGGCTCTGAAGCCTTGGGGGAGAACTTGCTTTAATGTGAAGTATTAATTGTGTTGGGCCCTCAGCAGCTGCTGTCTGTCTGAGTTTAGTGTTGAAGTGGTTTGTGCGGGGTTAAGGACCAGGGGCTGTGGAGGTTGGATCGGAGACAGCGCATCACTGGTTAAAGCCCCTCCGTCTGAGATTGACTTTGTTTGTCCTTCACACGGATGTCACCAGAGCTAACAGCTCCCATCGTCTCCGAGGCTGTGACTGGATTCAGTTCTGCTTGCGTGAGCCCCTCGCTCTCCCTGTGGTGATTCTCCTAATGTCAAAGCAATGGTATTAGGGGAACCGCCGATGTCAATGGTTTCCCAATCTTCCAACCCGCCAGCCATTCCCAATCCCACCCCCTGCCTCCACCAAACCATTGCCTCCCCCACCCCCTACCCCCCACCACACATTGCCTCCCCCACCCCCTACCCCCCCCCCCTCCACACCATTGCCTCCCCCACCCCCTGCCCCGCCCCCCACACACACCATTGCCTTCTGCAGTACAAGAATTTCACTTTCAGGGGGTATTAATCCCTTCCCCCCAAAATAAAATAAATAATAATAATAATTTGGTCACTCAATCCACGACTGTGTGTGGAACACTGCTGTGCACAATTGGCTGCCGTGTTTCACCACAAAATATACGGTTAATTCACTTTACAATAGAATAATAGTAATAATAATAATCCTTGCATTTGATATAGCGCCTTATCACGTCTTCGAGACATCTCAAAGCGCTTCCACAATACAATGCAGTGATAAAGCGCTGTGTGGTGATGCAAGGATTAGTGTTATTAATACCTGCCCCCAACACAAGAGCGTTGAATTCAGCTAATTCCTGTTGGTCTAATTATTGCCCGTTGTTCAGCTTCTAACTCAGGAATAAAGAACCAAGAGGTGAGCGAATGCTTCATGGAGCCAGTCAATGGTTTGTCCTCTGGCCGAAATATGTGTGGACCGGAGGCTACGACAGGGGAATGTCTGACCTGGGCACTCGCCGAGGGAGCAGACAGCTTACAGAGAAAGGTTAGTGCCAACTGAGCCCTTCAGACAGGCTCACCAGCCCAGACAACCAGTTATACCTCCCTCCTCCAGGTATGATTTCAGCTCTCCGAGATGCTGAAGGGTACTAGATAAATGCAAGTTGTTGTGTAATCTTGTTGTTGTTCTTGTTGTTGTTGTTATTGTTGTTATTGATTCTGAATGAAATGAAGCCAGAGAGACAGAAAGAGATGGAGACAAAAAAGAATGGAAGAATAGAGAAAAAGATGCAGGTAGAGAAAGGTAAAGAGAGGAGAGAAAAAAAAAGAAACACGAGAGATAGAGAGAGAGAGAAAGGGTCTTATCAGGTTGAAATGTCACAATGGGACAAGTTTACAGTAATATTTGGCAAATGTAGTGACTGTTTTTCAAGGGAGATGTGGCTGTCAATCAACACAGCGCGGGTTGGGGACAAACTCGAGCTTGGGCTTTTATACATTGTACAAACCTCCACCGCAGTGCGAGAGGCTAGTGAGAGGGGCAGAGAGGGAGCTTTCAGCCGCGCCTGTCAGTCTGTCCTCTATTTTTTGGCCTTTTAACAGATGGATGAGTTTGAAGGCCTGATGGACGAAGGGAAGGTGCTGCCAGAGGCACAGTTGAGGGTAAGTAACTCTCAGGGGATTAAACGGCTTTGAGTGTGAAGGTTGCATTCCATTAGAGACCAATTATTTTTTTCGGTCAAATGGGCCGAAAGGGCTTTCTCATTACCTGAACCTCTCTCGTGTTCTCCTGTGTTTCCAGGCATTTCAGCAGCTGAAGGACATTCAGGACACTCTAGAGCGAGGGTACCTCCAGGCTCGTGAGGAACATCGAGGCCTGCAGCTAAGAGGTCCCGGGAGCGACCAAATGGCTGGGGACTTTGATCTAAACAGGTCGGTGGGTGGACGCAGTTTTCCTATCAATCTGAACTTCACCGAGGAGTTTAACAACCCTTGTATTCATAATAATAATAATCCTTGCCCTTGATACAGCGCCTTATCACGTCGTCGAGACGTCTCAAATCGCTTCACAGGATATACTGTAAAGTGGAGTGACTGTGTATCTTGTGGTGAAATGCGCTTACACAGCACTGTCCCACAAACAGCCATGGAGCGATTGAGCAATATTATTTGGGGGATTGTTGTCCAGGACACCGGGGGAGAGAGAGAAACTCCCTTCTCTTTTCCAATAGCCCCGCGGGATCTTTAACAAAAACAACAAATGACATTAACGTCCACCTGAACAGGCAGATTGGGCCTCGATTTAACATCTCATCTGAAGGACCATGCAAAGCCCCCCCCTGCCATGCTTTGCAGGGTCAGCTTAGACTATGTGATTCCAAGTCCCGGAGTGGGGTTTGAACCCACAAGCTTCTGATTCAGAGGCGAGCACACTAACTACTATGCCACGGGACAGTGCCTGTATTGTTTAAATATATCAGTGCTTCAGGAAGTTAAACCGTGTACTCTCCTGTTTTCTTCCCTCCCCCCCCACCCAGGGAAGTGGAGGGGAGCATTTTCCGACTGGGAATGAACCTGGAGGATCTGAAGGAACGGGTGGACACAGCCTTGCAGATCCACAGCTGCCCACTGCCCCAGCCAGGACTCCCGCACGCCCCCAGCCTGTGCCATCCAGGGCCCACGCCAGCCTTCAGGACCTCCACGGCCTTCCCCAAGACACAGCCCCGCACCTCACTCTGCCAGTTACCCACAGCCACTGTCCCGCCTCCCAGCCCCGAGGTAAGTCACCAACAAATTCCACCGGGTTCTCAAGCCTACAGAGCCATTCTGTCTTAGACAATTTTTGTGTCTGAAAAACAGCCATCATCGTGCTGAAGTGTGTGTCCAAACCAGACCTGAGAGTCCAACACATCCATAACACATCCAGTGATGTGTTAGACTCCAGCAGGTACCCCAACGCACACTCTGGGCTCCTCCCAAGCCTTGCCTCTTGCCAACCTGCACCTAATACTCTCCAGAATTAGGTCAGAAGGAAGCATCCCTCCAAGGAGAGAGAGAGAGAGTGCACGCATTCCCTTCCTGCATCTATCTCTAGGGTTTCCATGTGTGATGCCTGACAATTTCAGTTTGGTGGGATCCCGTGGTGATGGGTTTCCGTGGGTGTCAGACCCCTGGCTGTGAGCAGGTCCACACAGAGACACAACTTGCTAAGTTGAAGATCATTGTTCTAGTTTTCAGTGGCCGCCGCACCACAGATTGTTATTATTATTATTAAAGAGTGGTGGAACAGGCTCGGTGGGCTGAATAGCCTTTGCCTCTTTCTGCTTTCCTATGTTCCAACGACTCATACTCTTCCTGTCTCTCTCTCTCTCTGGAAAGGGCCCGTTCCTGAGCACTGCCCGCCTGGGCCACCCGCGGGTGAACACGGAGGTGAGCTCTGTGAGCGGAGACAGCGAGTACGGGTGTCCTGACCCCGAGACCCTCCAGCACCGGCACGTGGACCCCCAGAGCGGAGCCGGGCACTTTATGGACCAGTGAGTGAGCATATTAGGAGCGTGGGGGGAACTGTGTACCGTGTCACTGAGCAACAGGAAAACCACAAAATTGTTTTATTTTGAAGCTTGCCCCTCTCCTCCCCTCCTACCCCCCACCCAAACCTCCATAGATCCTCTCTCTGCCCTCAGCCCCACCCACCACCGCTGTATAATTCTGCCAGTCTCAGCTCGAAAGACTCCTTTGACATAAAATGTGACACCGTGCAGAAATGTGGAGGCTTCTTCAATTCAACCTTAAGTTGGAACCCCGAGAGAGGCTGAGAGAGAAAGAGAGAGAGACCGAGAGGCAGAGAGAGAAGCTGAGAGAAAGGGACAGAAAAAGAGAGAAAGAAAGAGAGGAAGGCTGAGAGAGAGAGTAAGAGAGGGGCCTGGAGCAAGTGTTCAGACTGTGAATTCTCCTCTCCGAGGGGCAGTGAGTTAGGGGGAGGAGCTTTGCTGGTGTTGGGGGGCAGGAGGGACAGAGCCGTTGACGTGCCGAGCTCTGATCATACCCTTTATCTCCTCGATCCCATCACAGACACCGTAACACAGCATCTGAGCCACCAAGTGTCGGGTGGGTGAGGGGAGGCATGGAGTCTCCCCGAGCCCCCCTGGCCCCTCAAGCCCAGAGAATGGAGAAGGCGGAACTGAACTGCGTGGATAGAAAGGTTCCAAGGCAGGAGCAGGAGCAGGAGGAGCACATCAGGAATATTCCAGTCCCGTGAGTATCCAGACGGAATTTTGCACTTGCAGCTGTGAACTAATAGAATGGCGGAACAGACTTGAGGGGCTACATGTCGTACTCCTGCTCCTATGTTCCCTCTCTCGTAACCCCCACAACCTTTGCCCCTTCCCCCCCCACACCCAGGAATTGGAACCCGCGTCCACTCGCTTGGGGGCCGACCGCACTAACCACTATACTACGGGACTCCACTCCCACCTCCCCTGATGTGGTTTGAATGTCTGCATGTGGTGTTGTATTTGTTGTTGTAATTTCCAACGTAGGAGACAAGCGGTGAAAATGCACATCACATTCCCCAGCTGCCTGACGGGGAATCAGCAGCCAGTGCTGGAGAGAGAGGAGCATCCAGCGGCCTGTGGGGCCTGGGCACGGGCTCTGTCCCCCATTCCCAGGAGAAGCTGCCAGAGAGAGAGCGCGAGGGAAAGAGAGCTTCCCCACCAGCCATCCTTACGCAGCAGCACCGCCAGCCTCGGTGAGAGAGACCTCTCCCCCGATCCAGGACTCTGCCGATCTCTCTACCGCACCAAGTCGGTACAACTGGAGGTAAGAGCGGTCACGGTGGGGGGGGGGGTTGGAAAGGAGGGGTTCATCAGAGCACTCGCCTCGCAAACGAGAGGAACTGGATTGGATTCCCAGATGGGAAGAAACCTTAAGCGAGTTTCCTTACTCCGCACGCCGCTGGTTACCGGCAGTCAGTAGGAACCCGCTTTTAGTCGATTGGCCGATCGCTTTTCCGGGGGGTAATAAATCCTCTTTTTGAAAAGAAAAATCTGTGATAATAATGCGGTCGCCCCAATCTGCCACTGTGGGTGGCAAGTGGCTGCGGGCAATTGGTTGCTGCGTTTTGCCCCCCAAAGTACAGTCACTACGCTTTACAGTGTGAAGCTCTTTGTGGCGTCTCAACAACGTGATGAGGATCTGCATCCAATTAAACCCTTCACCTGAGCTCCGGCGGCGCTGGCCACTGCCCCGCAGTGCCCCCCAGTGGCCGCTCCCGCTCGCTGCACCTCCAGCGTCACGTTCCCATTGTATGATCGGCTCCCCTCAGCTTTGCTCTGCTCTGAGACCCGGTGTTCCTGGCCATCAGCTCCTCTGCTCGCGCCCCTTGAGATGGCCTTGACCACCGAGGAGACAAACCTTTGCAACATCTGCGTCCGGCTTGCGTCGTTCCTGTGGGGGCTGCAGCGCATTGGTGAGAGCACTCGCCTCGCAAGCGAGAGGACCCGGGTTGTGTTTGTTGGACGCTGCTGTGCACAATTGGCTGCCGTGTTTCGCCCACAAAATACACAGTGTTAACGCATCCCTCAACAGGAAATGCCATCGATCCCATTTCCCGAAGTGTAGAATGGCTGAACGTGTCTGGCTGTTTTTTTACAGGACCGGATCATTTCCCCGGAGACGGACAGCGGGTTTGTGGGCTCCGAGAGCAGCAGGCTGACCGCAGCAGCCGAGACCCCCGAACATCAGTGCCTCCTGAACAGGTACTGGCAGCGAGAGAGAGACAGGGAGAGAGAGAGAGCCAGCGAGGGTGGGGTACTCACTGCAACATGGCAGGGACTTATAGTTCAGGAGGGGAGGGGAGTGTGTGCGCGTGTATGTACTTGCGTGTGTGTAAGTGAATGTGTGTGCATGTGTGTGCGTGTATATATGTGTGTGTGTATCTCTGTGGGTTTATTATGTGAGTGTATGTTTGCCTTATCCTCTCCCTGTCTCCTCACAGGCCCCAGAGTGTACGGGACCCCCCTGGTCGGCCCCCCGCCTGTGCTGATGGAGCTCCGCGGAAACCCTTGCAGGCTCAGGACCCTCACCAGGAACACGGCTCCGCCAAGAAGCTGAGGCACAGCCTCCTGTCCAGGAAGGACAGTCTGGCACAGCCTGACTTGTCAGGGACCAGCTCCCCAGGCCAGTGGGCGGGCAGTGTCCTGAGCGAGTTTGAGCAGGAGACTTACGTCAGTGAGTAAACACTGGGTGGGAATTCAGAGACGCTTCAGGGCAGTGATGACGCTCACATGTTACACATCTCCCATCTCCCCATCACTTTGGCTGTGGCGCAGTCACACACGCTCTCAGCCCCAGAGCCCAATGGTTGTGGATTTGAGCTCCCAGTCCAGGCTGTCGCTGGGGTGGAGGGGTGGGTGGGGGGCATAGTCGAAAGCGCTGTCCTTCAGATGAGACCTTAAACCAGGTTCGTGTGAAAGGCTCTATATAAATGCAAGTTGTTTTGTCTAAAATAATCCTGAAAAGCTGTCATTTCCACCCCCACCTCCCTCACTCCCTCCCCCCACCCCTACTCCATCACTCCCCACCCCCGCCTCCTTCAAAGCATGTCTCAAAACTTTCCTCTTTGACCGTGCCTCCGGACGCCCTCCCACCCACCCACACACCCTCCTCCCCTCTTGATTCCAACCCCCAACTCGGGTGCAAATCCCTTAACTGTCCAGCGCCTTGGGACGTCCTCCTGACGGGAAAGGCACTGAGTAAATGTAATGTTGTTGTTGTTTAGCTCAGAGCGAGTCGGAGGCCGATGGGCAAAGTTGTTCTCCCACGTCAAGGACCCCTCAGCCCGCGTTCCTCTCGTCGAGCTTCCACCCCAAGCTCTGCTCCACTACTCTGACCGTGCGCTCAGCCCGAGAGTAAGTGCCAGACGTCCGGCCGTCCATCTGTGCTGCGATCGGTCGCTAGGGCTTTGAGACTGCGTGTGTGCGTACGTGTGTGCGCGCGTGTGTTTGTGTGTGTGTGTGTGGTGTGCAGGCGTGTTTGTAAGGCGTGTGCACGTGTGTGTGTAAACGAGGTTTGGGTGTATGCGCGTGTTTGTCTGGCGTACGGTTTGCGTGGTGTACGTATGTATGCGTGCCTGTGCTTGTGCATTTTCGTGTCCATGGGTGACGTGTGAAGTGGAGCCTGACTGTGTGTGTTTCTTGTGTTGGCAGTGAGGCCATTCAGGCTCTGCAGAACGAGGTGTCTCAGCTCAAGCAACGTTTGGAGGCGTGTCTGCAAAGGCCACAGGCAGATTCCGAACAGGAACCGTGCACCAGCCCCCCGCTCCGCGCCTGGCCCCCCGACTGCCAGACCCCCAACAGCAAGCCGATCCCGAGAGCTTCCGACAGGCACCGGTGAGTTCACCTGTAATACACCTTTGGATAAGACTTTAAATCAAGGCCCATCTGTCTGTGCTGTTAAAGATCCCGCACTGCGATTGGAAAAGAGAAAAGGAGTTCCTCCCCCCACCACCCCAACCCGCACTGTCATCCTGGGAAATCCTGGGCAGTGTTTTTAGCCTGGTCACACCCATTATTGCGACGTCAAGAGCTCCGAGACCCTGACCTGCGTGAAGACCACTGTATATAAATGCAAGTTGTGGTTGTGGTGATGATGATGATAATGACGATGGTTATGATGGTGGTGATGGTGATGACGATGATGATGGTGGTGGTGATGATGACGATGATGATGATAGTGATGATGGTGATGACGATGATGGTGATGATGATGATAGTGATGATGGTGATGAGGATGGTGATGATAGTGATAGTGATGATGGTGAAGATGAAGATGAAGATTTTTCTCTTTAGGAAACAGAGGCAGGAGAACGGACATGAGGGATGTTACTATCGCACCTCGTCCTGTGGTCACCCTCGCTCCAGGCGGGATCCACAGCACAAAGCACAACTGGATATAAGTAAGGAAGAGATCTCAGCGAAGTTAGCGCAGGAAAGGAGAAAGCAGGACAACACCAAATACATCAGGAAGCAGGAGGCGAGCTCCGGCTCCTCCCTGAGGCGTCAGAAGGGATTGGCGGGAGGGGGGAGACGGCAGAGGGGGGTGGGGGGGGTGTGCTCTGCTGGAGCTCTCCACTCGCTGAAGAGCGGCCTAGAGCTGCGGAGGGAGATCATGGAGGAGCAGAGGAGGAACAATAAGCTGCTGGAGGAACTTATCGAAGTGCACAGCGATATCAAAATGTACTTCCAGAAGATCAGCAGCTCCCTGGGCGTCTCTGAGCCCGGCTCAGTCCTCCCCAGACACTATAAGGCCACGCGCTAGCTTTGAGGCCAACTTGAGTTCGGTCAACCTTCAACACCCTCCCCAAATCCCCCAACCCCAAACAGAGTGCCTCTAGGACCTGATCGCTTCACACGTCCCTCTCCTGCCTTCCCCAGACCACAGCCCCCACCCAACCCCACCCCAATAATCAATGACTTTCATGGTCAACTTTCATGACATTGCATTTCCCCTCTAGCCAGCCTTGTGTTGGCCGCCAGGGTCTCTCTCAACGCTCTAGAATCTTACCTTTACTTTCTGAAGTTTTATGATGGAAATAAAATTCACCTACACCCACTGTTAATGCCGTGTGTGTGTGTGTTTGGGTGTGAATGGTGTCAAGTGGGGGGCATGGGCAGTCATTGTGTGCAGAGGATGGGTCAGACTGAACGGAGCTAGAACCGTCTCACAATCAATCCCGTACTCTGACCAGGGCTTAAATGGGGCGGGGGGTGGGCACGGCGGAGTCCTGTGTGTGAATAAGGAGCCATTGTGTGGGTGAGAGTCTTTGATTGTAACCAACCCCCCACCTCTGCGCCCCCCTCCCCACCATGTGATTGTTTCCTTACAGGTAGCGAGGCAGAGCCATCTCTGTCCAAACCACAGCCATTCGCCTCCAAACACCTTCACCCCAGCGGCCCCCTCGCCTCCGCATACACGCGACCCCCGCCTTGTGAAGGTCGAAAACTCGAGACAGTTAGAGTCAAAGGACCGTACACAGGTGAGCGCTCACTGCTGCTCACTACTGCTTCCTCTAATAATGCTCGCAATTGACGCAGTGCCTTTTGCGTTGGGAGGGTATCTCAAAGCGCTTCACAGGGTCTCACTGTACAGTGTAGTGACTGTATTCTCTAGCAGATGGTTTGCACGCATCGATGTCTCTGCAAAGAACCGAGAAGAGACTGACCAATTTAATAATAATTTGGTTTAGGCCCTCAACATGTCGCAAGCTCATCTCAAAATGCTTCACAGGATTTACAGAGACACGGGGGAAACTCCCTTCTTTCACTGGCTGTTTGGGGGGGGGGGGGGGGCGGGAGTTGTTGTGTACAAATTTGGCTGCTCCCTTTTGTTACAAAACACACAGTCACTACACTATATGGGAAATTACTAACTATACGCTTCTTCATCAAGACCAATCTTGTGATCTTGCAGGCACTGACTACACCTTATTTGTACCTTGGGCCTCGGGACAAGTGGACGTGGTTGATGTGGGAGTCTGTCCTCACTGTGGCTCACAGCCTCCTGGTCAGTGCTCGGCCCTAGACAGATATCGAAATGATCTGGTCAAACACTTCCACTTTTCATAAAGTTTTGTGTGGGTGGGGTGGGGTAGGGGGGGGATAATTATCTCAGGGGGGTGATCACTGCGTTCACTCACGCTGTTGTGTTTGTCCAGGGAACGGCCCATTGAAGAGCAGCTCCATCTCCACGTCACGGGGCAGACAGCCCCAGCCTTGCCCCCTGTGTACAGGGTCTGGTACCCAGCTCAGGACAGGAGAGGAGCCTCAGCCTGGTGAGTGGGCAAGAGGCTGTGAACCTGTACAGAGACACAGAGAGAGTGAAATAAACAGAGACAGTGATAGACAGAGAGAGGCAAAGAAATTACATGCACACCTAGAGACAGCGAACCTATAGACAGGGAGAGACGGTGACAAACAGAGGGAGAAACTTGAGAGACAGAGGGTGACAGCCAGACAGAGAAAGATAGTGAAATTACAGAGAGGCGGTGAAACTATAGAGACAGACAGTGACATTATACACAGACGCTTACATGTCTGTCTGGTGGGTGAAGCAGAGACGAGTGTTAGCGCTGATGAGCGGAGATTTTATGCAGTGATTGACGTCCGTCTCCCCTTATTGCATTGGCAGCTGCTAAAGTGGAGCCGGGAGACACGTGCGGGCGGAGCCGCGGAGCCAGGAAGCAGCGCAGCGTGCGTGTGAGCGAGGCTCCTCCTGTGTACAGCTGCCTGCCCCCCCCACACTACGTGCCTTACTCTTTACCAGCTTTGTAAGTGGCTTCTTGTAGTCAGGCGAACGTCGAAGGCGCCGTCCCATTAGCTGCCCTGCGCTCGCCCAAACAACACACGGTCGCTATAACCTACGGTAAAATCCTGTGAAGCGCTTTGAGGGATCCTCCCAATGTGAAAGGTGCCAATTCAAATTTACGGATTTACGGATTAATGTTATTTATTCTTACTCTTATTATCCCTGAGGCTAAGGAACATATGTGTACATCATGTATTGTATCGTCACTAACTCTGAGCTCTTTCTGCCACAGTTACATTGCTGCACCAGCCTCCCAGTACACCTCTCCCACCCGCTCGCACCTGTACTACCCATCGGGCTTTAAGGTGGTGGAGGCAACGCCACTGTCTGCTCGCACAGCGTCACCAAACCGACATCGGCACAACCACCACGAGGCAGTCAAGGTAAGGTTCTCTGCCCCTATTTGTAGAGTCCTGTAGCTCAGTGCTTCGAGCACTCGCCTTGCAAGCGAGAGGACCCGGGTTTGATTCCCGGGCGGGACAGGGCGAAGCCTTAGGCAAGTTTCCTTACTCCACACGCCTCTGTTTACCTAGCTGTGAGTAGGTAGGATTTGACTTGACTGGTTGATTGCTTTCCGGAGATAAAAAATACTAATGTGGTCACTCAATCCACAGCTATTTGTGGGGACGTTGCTGTGTGCAATTGGCGGCCGCATTTCACCCACAAAATACACAGTCACTACACTTTACAATATATCCTGTGAAGCGCTTTGAGACATCTCAACGACATGATAAGATGCTATGTGAAATGTAAGGATTATTATTGTTGTTACTGTCTAGAACTTCCTCTACCTCACTGCAACTCTACAGTAAAATCGCTTTGAGACGTTTCCATGACATGATAACGCGCAGTAACAAATGCCAGGATTAATCAAAGGTGACATGTCTTCCTTTCTCTGTCACAGCTCTCTGACAGGAGTCACTCCTCCCTGGACCAGGCCATCGAGGCAGCGAGAGACATGAAGTGGACGTCAAAGAGAATGGTGAGAGCGTTGGCCTCAGACCTGGGGAAGGCAAGAGCTGTCCAGTCATCCTTCTACCTGTGAGTGAGCGAGAGAGCAGATCATTCCTTACCTGCATCAATGAGCAGAACAAAGTACTGTACACATCACAGCCTCTCCACAACTGCACATCACGGACCTTGTAGATTATTAATCTGCTCGATCATGTGAGTTGTGTGAGACCGACCGACAGACAGACCGACCACTGTGTGACTATTTTTTTGGGGGGGAGGGGTTGGGGTGATCTGCTTAAAAAAAAAATTTTTTTAACTAAAATAGAATTTGAGCGATGGTCATATGTAGCACGGGTCAGAAATGTTTTATTCTGTGAATTTTTGTAACCAGATATATTTTTGTACAAAAGAAATGGTTTTAGTGGGTGACGAGATGCCAAAACCTCAACAGCTAAATGGGCATTAATCACCAACACACTGCAATGCTGCTCAACAGGTTCAGCTCTTAGCTTTCAGCCAGTGACGCTGTTGGTGTCTCAATGTTTTAAGTCAGAAGGTTGTGGGTTTAAGCCCCACACAGGGATTTGGGAGGTCACATAATCCAGGCTGATGCTCCACCACAGTGTTGGGGGTGGGGAGGGGGGGGGGGAAGGGGAAAAGCACTGCATTGTTTTGGGAGGAGCCGTCCTTGGATGAGATGTTATAAATCGGGATCCCACGTCCCTGCTCATTCAAGATGGACGTTTGAAGATCCCACGGCGCTGTTCGAAAAGAGAGAGGAGTTTTCTCCTGTTTTCTCTCTCTCCCAATAGAAAAAAAATCAACAGTTATTTGCCGCAAAGCAGCGTCCGTCCTTTGTGAGTGCGGTGACTCCGTTTGCGTTTGGAGTTATTTACCTCTCTTTCATTTGAGTCGCTTGGCTTCCATTCCTTATTGTCCTGAGCGGCAGGAATCTGGTCGGTTTATCGTCTCATCACTTGAAGACAGAGAAATGTGGAATGCATTGCCTAGGAGGACAGAATGATTTTTAACAAAAGATGGAAATTTACTTGGGGACGGGGGGGGGGGGTGTCAAACATATCAGTGGGTCTCACAGGCTCATTCCTCATCGCTTCTGCTCAGTGTTACACTTGTTCCAACGTTCTCTTTGTGGGACTTTGCTAAACAGTGAGATTTTCCAATCTAAGTATTTTTTTTTACACATCTGAACGGAAGCAATAATAGAAATCATGTCAACATGGCATGTTATACATGAAGTGTTTGTTTTATAAATTATTTATAATTTTATTTTTAAATACGAGACGGAGTGCGTTTGGCTGACCTGTTTCTCCAGCCCGATTAATCCTGCGACTGAATGACTTTTTTCTAAAAAAAATTGGAATAAATTGATTTTTTTCCCCACTCCAATCAATCGAGCTATTTGTTAGTGTTTGTCATATCTGTGTCAGGTGCTGATCAGTCACGCTCAGCACAGTGCAAACAGCCTGAAATTATTTCTTTTTTGGTGACATTGGCTGTCTTTAAAATTGTGTGCCATTGCACATAACACATTCTTAAAAATAATCCTTGCATTTGATACAGCGCCTGATCACGTCATTGAGACGTCTCAAGCGCTTCACAGGGTAAAGTGTAGTGACTGTGTATTTTGTGGGCGAAACTCATACAAGGAACTCGGCAGTGAATTACTGCAGATTTCACCTTCGTAAATCCCACCAAGAGAGAGAGCAGCACCCTGAACAAGAAAACCCTAACACTGGCCTTCCCCATATATCTGGCAATTTGGGACCTTGTGCAGGAACTTTTAACAACTTTAATAAGACAGCAGCTCAGAGATATGACATGCAGCCCCGGACTTGATGAATTTTGTTGACAAAAGCCTCGTCACATTGTCGAGATACATTGCCTTCTTCCTAATTCACTCTCGTCACCAAAGTGGGATTGTATTGAAGGATTGCCACACGACCCTCCACTTGTCTTTCATTGGATCGACAACTTGCATTTCCTCCCCGGATCAATCAGAGTCTCTCCCGTCCCCACCACACAGTTTGTCACCCTCATATCAGATTACCTTTTAAGATTATTTCTCCCACCAATCCACATTACCTCCTTTGAGACGTCTCAATGACATGATAAGGTGCCCATAATCACATACAAGGATTATTGTTATTATCGTAGTTTGGAGCGCCCTTATTCTCATTCGACTCCACGGCTGTTTGTGGGGACATCAATCCATGCAAATCGGCCTGCAAAAACACACCCTTACGAAATCCACTGAAGCGCTTTGAGACATCCTCCTGATGGGAAAGATGCAGTATCGAATGCGGGGATTTTGTTTTTATTTGAGTTTGAAGATGGGAGCGAAACGGCTCAACGAATTTAGACCAAGAGGAGTAAGAAATCACTTACACAGTGACCCAATGTACAAGCAATCTCATCAGGACCCATTTATTTATCTGCTTCGGTCTCAGAACATAAAGTACACTTTGTGCTTGAACACTCTGAACACAGGATCGGACTCTTTTCACGGGAGACGGGGGGGGAGGGGGGAGAGGGGCATCAAGACAAGACTAAAGTTCTCGGATAAATAACTTCATATAAATAGGACTCGACACAGTGGATCGTGTTACAACAGCAAAGTAAGCTTCTTGCATCACAAAAGCAGTCAGTGCATCACATGGCCTTTTTGCTGCAAATAACGGCGCGAGCAAGAGACCGGCAATTAAAAAGCTTTTCGACAAATGGAAGATGCAGCAATGCCCAGAAGGAAAGAAAATCCCTCCCTCCGCTCCCTCCCTCCCTCCCCTCCAATATAACTACCACACACACAAGCATTAACACAGCACAAAAGGACACAGAGAATATACATACACACTCATAAATTAAAAGAGGCTACTTCACGTTTTTCACCAGTTGGACTATACAGCGACACACTATCAGTTAGTGCATAAATGGTTTTATCTCAATATTAACCAAAGAGACAGTAATTCCATTTTCATTTACTAAGTACAATACTGAAATAACATTGGCTCTGTTTCGCAAGCACGACGTTTGACACTACACGTTTAAAAGATGTTGGGGAGTTGGGGAGGGGAGGAATACTTTGGGTTTTGACCATCAGTGGAGGAATGTGCTGGCCACTTTCCCTGTCCAGAAAGCAGCCCTCGAGAAGACTTCATAAAACGGTCGCTATAACCATGCTTTGAGTCGCTGGCAATTTATTGTCAGCATTTATATATAATATATCACATCAACAAGACTTATTCCAGGCAAATTGGAACAACACGCTTCATCCCCAGGACATCACAGCAGCTTTTGGGTTGGAAGTTTCAGAATCGTTTAATTTTATTATATATATATTATATATATATGTATGTTTGTGTGTGTGTTTTTCAAGACAAAGGGGCTACTATTATTTCATCTTTACTCTTTTACTCTGTATTTACGCTGCATAAGCCCAACCCCCATGCAAAGCTTTCCTCCACTAATCCAAACACACATATGAAAGAAACCCAAGAGAATTCTAACCAATTCACTCATGTCCTAGCGGTTTTAAAGCAATCGTCGTCAGATTTTAGTAATTACAGTATTAGGTAAGCTTTTTTTCCCAGAAATTCCTTTTGTTTTAAACGTTGCATCCATTGCTAAAACAATTTCGAGAGAAATTTGCTAGCCTTCATATCTTTTGTTTAGCTCAATGCAATACATATTGAATTACAAAGGTTGCAACATCAAAACTTCACAGACAGTAAGTGGGGGTGGGGGGTGGTGGTGGTGGGGTGGGGGAGGGGGTGCGGAGAAGGAGGGGGATCTTCAAAGAGTGCTCAAAACCTCTCCGCGATGGTTTCACTCTTTTAACTGCTGGGTTCCTCGTCTGGCTTGTTCAGTTTTTTCAGTGAATCGAGCAATTTTTGGGGAGTGAACACGTGTGTAGATCCTAAAGGATGGAAGGTTGCAAGAATCGATCAGTTAGTTGGTTAGTTAATTAGTCTGGTGCAAACGCACAAGAAACTGAACTGCAAAACAATGCCATTAGTTTTAAAAATGCAGTATCTTTATCCCATCGATGTGAAAAGACAGCAAAGCTATTAAGTGAGACGGGTAAGAATTTTCTTTACCCAATGTCCTAAGCTGTCCCAACTCGATGTCCCAGCTCAATTTTTGAGTGTTTATTTTAAAAATTCTTATTAATGCGTAAAGTTAATAAAATGCATTTCACCACTTGGGGAAAATAGATACTGCAGCTTTAATAGCACTGGAGCCCGTGACTGACATTCAATAATAAATCATACTGGAAAGGAAACTTAGCTTGAGATAGCCAAATCTTAAATGGCGAGATGTTTTAACTCAACAGAAACTCGCACGATGCCTCAGATCTTTTTGAACGAGAAAGAAGATTTTTTTTTAACGAAAAAGAAAACAGACTTTGTATTAACCCTTTGACTGACTCGGCACTTTCGCACCCACAAATAGAAACAGGTTCGTCGTCCGAATTTTTGGGGGATTTCAGGAATGCACCCAACTCCTGATAACTAATCGCTCCGAGGGAAAAGGGCTCAGTGACGAGTTATCCGGAGTGGCAAGTTACGCGCGTGTATAAATACATCAATAAATGTGGCTGGGATGTTAACCACACAATGTCTTAAGTGGTTGTGAGAAGTTAATACAGGTTCCAGTTAACAGAAGTTTATTGTGTTAAGGATCTTTCAAGATAGTGATGAGTTGTTTTAATAGTGGATTAGAATCCAATATCCCCCCAAAAATCGTCCGTTTATTGAACCACGTGCAAGAAAGTGCCTCCTCCCACCCGCAAAATAATCTTACAGTACTCAAAGGGTTAAGCGGAGAGGTTTGAACTGCAAATAGCATTGTATTACTTGTTTAAATTATTATAATTTTTTAAAATCCGATCACTTTCAAATTACTTCACGACAAACGTTTTCTTGTTTTCCGTTTTTAAAGAGAACATTTTTTTTACAAGTTAAGTTACACGTTGCTTACACAGTTCATTATCCTTACGAGACAGAAAGATAAGATATTTTTTCTGTGCGTGTTTTTTAAAATAAATTTTAAAAAAAGAATTTGAGTCTTTTTCTTTCCGAAAGGAAGAATTCTGGTCGAGTAAAACAAAGAAAACTCTTCGAAACAAACACATAAAGAGAGAGAGAAGAGTTTCCTTCTATTTTTTTTCGCAGTTTTACTTTTTATTTGCCTTTTTTCACTCCTCTTTGGGAGCTTGGTCCTCAAATGTGACCCTAGAGGACTCCCTGAAGTCCGGGTGTCTCAGGTCCATGAGAAAATTGGTGGGAGTTAGAATGTGGGTAGAACCTGTGAGAGAACAAGAGGGTAGCTAACACCCTTACAACACGCTAATGTATTTATGCCCATATTAACTTTCCTGAGGACGAGAAGATGCTGGAGAGAAATGTGCATGCAAAACATCTGAATCACACCACGCGCTCCAGCCCTTTCCTGCATTGGGATGTAGCCCAACCGAGCTGCGGATACGATGGGGCTGGGGAGGAGGGGGTCCGAGTTGACTGCGCTTCGGTGCTCTGGTCGACAGTGGGGGGGGGTGCAGCGGGAGCCCAGATCCCAGCTGAGGCGCTCTAGGGCAGGCAGATGGCCGCACGGGAAAAGGACTTGAGCGACTGAGCGAGGGAATGCAAGCACTTGGTGTTTCGTACTTGAGCAGAACGTCTGCGCGTGAAGCGAAAACACATGAACACACACACACGCGCACACACATACACGCACACACTCACGCACACACGCACACACAACAGCAATGTTTTAACAATGACAATAAGGAGCAGGGTTAGGTTAACAGAGGAATGAGCGGACAGTGAAACCCCAGGTGTTATGTAAGGCGACATTTAAGCGCAGTTTCTTGTTACAGATCACGGCTTAATGATCTTGTGTGACGCGGCCAAAACACGAAACAGATGGTTACATGATCTTGACTCAGTGCAAAGAGAGAGAGCGGGGGGCAGAAGAAAAGGTATTTAAACTAACTTACCACGGCTAATGGGTTCTAAAGCGATGGGCTGCCTCTTCACAATACTTACCTATTAGCACCTCCCACTTCCCGTTGGCTTGTGTGACCTCGTAAGCACAACGCATCTCAGAGCAGGAGACCCCCCCAAGGATGAAGGCGATCATGCGAGGCCCAGTTCTGTACTCCCCTGGGGTCTTATTCTTATGCCAGTGGCCATACCGGGCACTGTATGTAACAAACGTCACAGTCACTAGCAATCCTAATGAATATACTCTGCCCTACAAACCTGCTAGAACCATGAAAGCCTCCAACTTGGCGAGTTGGTCTCCATGAACCCCAAAGATCAGTAGTGACTTGACAATGATGGTGATGATGTGGGGATGTTACTAGGCCTGGGTTAGAGGTCACCCAGTGTACACCAGGGTCATCACCACGAGGGCATGTCTCATGTGTTAATGAAGCAACTCCTTCCCTTCCCCCACCCTCCCCACCCCCAGCAAGTCTCTATGTCCAGTTCCTGCCAATTGCAAAAACAAGGGGCAAAGAGCGGGTGTTCTTTTCTGACCAGCTCATGGCTTATCAACGATCACCTTTAACATAACAAGGGGCAGATTGATTGAATCCGTGAGCAGAGGCCATACCTGACTGCGGTGGAACTGAAGGATGCAGTAGAACGGGCAGAGATGTACGGATAATGCTTAGCGTCCAATTTGTCATCAATGGCATCCTGAAGAAGATATGTCCTCGGGTCAATATTAGTCGGGGGGGAAAGTAGGAAGAAGCACCTACTCTTTACACCTCAATCAATATTGTTCTTGGTCCAATAAGACCAACTTCCTGGCACCTCACCCAGTTACTTCATTGTACCGAGCACCCTACATTGCCTTGAGCTTCAATGCCAAAGAACCACATCCCTCATAGATGCCAGGTCCCAGCAAGGTGGGGAGATTTTAGAAGAAGTGGAGGTTGCATTAAATTGATCCCATTAACTGTGCCGAAAAAACAATGTTGTTTTGTCATTGAATGGAGTCTCAATGTTAAACACAGCGCTGTCAACATTGTAAGGATATTTTTGAACGGCTCCAAATTGTCTGGAGGGTACAAGGAAAATCGACCATATGTTCTGCTCTTTTATTAATTCATAGCAGCTCTTTGTCTATCTAATCCCACGACCCGACCTGTTCTCCATATCCTTTAACACCCTTTAATGCCTCCCTCCCTCTTTGATTCCTCCAATTCAAAACTAATGCTAGCTTTTCCTAAGTTCCAGCTTCTGTTCCCCAGTTATCTCTCAGAGAGAATATGTTCCACTCAGAAAACCAGGAGCTTCCAAAACTCCATTCAGATGGTTTCAAACTGTGCAATTTCTGCAAACCAATCCACCCCCCTCGCCCCGTTCCCTCTGTGATACAATCGGGAAAAGTATGCAATATTTCTTGTGTTAATTAGCACCAGCGCCAAGCTAAGGAACTGTTTATGAACCTGCTGCAATTTGGCAGTGATACTTAACCTCAACGCTAAATTAGCACCAACCTTTAATGGCAAATTTCGAGCCAGTTGGTTCATGCTTTACACTGGCACAAAATAAGGTAATGCTCTGAGGAATACTACAAGTTTCTCCCCCTCTGTAATTCACATTGAGTAAGAGTAAGAGTAAGAGTGTCACTGACCTCCATTATGTCCTTGATGAGTGGTGTCCATCTGGACAGCTGGTAGGTTTGCTCGCTGATCCGTTCCTTTCTCTCGGGTTTGTTCCTGCGACGCAGGGTTGACTTAGCGGAAAAATAAGAGAGAGAATTTTTGTCAATGTTCCCTCGCTGCTCACCGGAAACCCCCTCACTCCCCCACACCTCAACCCTGCTCCAGAAATAGAGTACCTACTGGATTTGCTTTTCATGTTTATTGGGTTAAAATAAATTTGCCCATGTAATACCATTTACCCATGTCTTTTTGTGGGACGCTGCTGTACGCGATTGGCTGCCGTGTTTCACTCACAAAATACACAGTCAATTCACTTGACAGCATATTGTGTGAAGTGCTTTGAGATGTGATAAAGCGCTGTGTCAAATGCCAGGATTATTATTGTTTATTAAAGGGCATCGAGACGCTTATGTTACGTGAAGGGCAAGTAACAGAGAAAAGTTCACATTGTTGGGGGAGTGTGGGGAGGTGGGGGGAGATGGTGGGGAGAGGTGGGAGGTGGAGGTAAAGGCAACGTACATCTGTGACAATGGGGATCCCCAGGTGAGCCATGTTAGTGATGATCTCGCTGTCCTCGGGCGGGATCTGAGCATGCTGAATCAGCTTGTTGAGGTTCTCCTCGGTAATTCCTAACCCAACGGAGAGAGAGAGAGAGAGAGAAAAGATCAGAAGATCAAGATACCCCCGAAGAATCCCCTTCAATCCAGTGATCTCAGCACGGAAACAGGCCATTCAGCCCAACCAATCTGTGCTGGTGTTTCTACTCCACACTTGGTCCTCATCCATTCCTTATTCCCTCCCATACAGCTCTGTTCCCCTCTCCCTCGTATGAAGGTCTCGCTCACCGTTCTTAAGGAAGATGTAGAGAAGGATGATGCGGATCTTGTCGTACGTGGTGACGTTGTTATCCAGCAGGATGGGAACGATGGCTCTCATCGGGTCCTTGATCTTCTCTCCTTCAGCGTCAGTGCCCATGGCCAGATCCTACAACACACATCAGTCACCCCATTCCAGTGTTCCATGTTGGGGGGGTTAAGGAGATGGTGGGTGGGGGGGCGGTGTGTGGGGGTGGGGGGGAGTAGGGGTTGAGGGTTGTATTGGAACAGGGTTTTGTAACTGAATCACTTAGTAACAATAATGATGACTATTTTCCGAGACCCCGATCGTAAAGGGATCCGTCCACTGACTGGATGAGAGTCACGCTAAATGCCACGGGAATTCTGCACTGACTGATCTCCCTCCCTCAGGGGTGGCGTTCCCTTGGGATGTGGAATTCAACAATAGAGTGGAACCATTTGTGACGCTGTCGTGAAGCTCCTGGCAAATCACACCATTAAGATCCCCGCCTCCTATCCACTTCCCCCCCACCCCTCCTCTCCACTCCCCACTTCTCACCCCCTTCCCGATTAGCACATTGAGCTCCTTGGTTTATCAGTACAATTGACTGTAACCATGTGGGTGCGCGTGGGTTAACACTTTACCTGTTCTACTCGGCACAGCTTGTCCACGGTGCCCTGGTAATGCTTCATACAGTCCTCAGCGAGGTGGAGGTGAGTGGAGTACTGGAGAGAACACAAAACCAACCGTCAGTGTCATCTCCTGTGTGAGCCGGGGAGCAGCTGTGTCCGGGAGTGACGAGGACAGACCGTACCTTGCTCAGCTCCTTCTGGTACTGTGGCATCTTCTTCAGCATCTGAGACAAGTCCCTCATGGTAGTCTGTAACAGGGACACAGTGAGTTATTTGGCAGCTGATGAGGATCATACCTCATCATATTGTTTCATACCTCAAACCCTGGCAAACCATTTCCTGTCCTTCCCATTGTGTGTGTGAGAGAGACTGTGCGTTGTGTGATGCTGTGTGACTGTGTGTGTGTGTGTGCATGAGAGAAACTTCACATCAAGCAGAAAGCCACCCTCCTGTGCCATGAGGGAGGCCACACAGTGACTCCCAGGCAGACCCCAGGTGGAGGGGGTGGTGGCGGTAGATAGCGCCAGGCAGGCAAATCCCATCTGGTGCCAGAAGGGAGTGGAAACGAAGCGAGTCTCTCACACAAACCTTCTCGCCGGTCGCCATTCTTTTGCTGGAGGAAAAATCCTTCAAGGAACGAGTCACCTCCCTGGGGAGAGAAACGGTGCTTCAGATACATTGACAGACACAGGGTCTGGGGTTACAGATAGAAGCTGAGACTGCCTTTCCCCGTCAACACCACATGGGACTGTACCTTCTCACACCGTGCTCTCAGTAGCAAGCTGTGCGGTTTTAGCATGTTCAAATCCAGCAGTTACCCGATCTGCCAATTGACTAACAACCGGGTTCCTATTATTGCTGGGTAAACAGGTATGTGTGGAATAAGGAAGCTTACCTAAGGTTTTGCCCTGCCTGCCTGGGAATCAAACCCGAATCCTCTCGCTTTTGAGGCAAGTGCTCTAATCACTACACTACAGTACAGGACTCCTGCTGGAAATGTGACACAAGTGTTTTCGCCTGTCTCCATCTGCTGTGACTGCAGAGAGCCTGAGATGCAAGGATTGTTGTTTCCGAGTTGCTCAGGCAGAGGCAACAGCAGATGGCACCTGACTAGAGCAAAAAATGGGGGTGAATTATCACATGGAATTTGTTAGTAGTTCCTTCTGAATTCTCTGCAAGATGCCCCCGATTGCTCGATCGGTCGCTTACTTACTGGGACACCTCTGCAATGTGTTTGTGACGCAGTGTAATCCATAGGTCATCATCTTCATCCAACAGCACCTCCTTGACCCGGTTCTCTCCCATCCCGCCAGTCTCGTACCTGCAGACATACCGCATCGATGGAAGATGCTTTAGACCCACTTTCAGTTCACACAAGATCTTTGTCTGGATAAAGAAGGTCCTTTGGCCCATCTGATCTCAACCCTCCAGAACACGTACCCTACAGTCACTGAAAGGCTGTCACTTAAGAATCTGCCAAACCGGGGTTCGGGCAGACACCTGCTCACCATCTCCCACTCCCTTCACGTCCATCTCAAGACCCTCCTCTTCGACCGTGCCTTGGGCCACCCTCCTACCCGCTCACTCCCTGCCCTCCACTCCTGATCCTAACCCCCAGTTTGGGTCCAAATCCCTGACTGTCCAACGCCTTGGGATGTTTTCCCAACGTGAAAGGCGCCGTGTAAATGTCATTTGTTGTTGTTGTGTCAGATCGTGACGACTCAGCAAAGGACAACACAAGCAAAGGCAAATGTCTCCTCCCCCCCACCAATGCTCCCTGGAGGAGCCTGTCTCCCGTCGCTCAGGGCGAGATTGCTGAGCGAAGCCAGAGACACCGCCTGTGGCATATCTTACTTGTAAACATCGTTCTCCACTGGCAGCAGGTCATAGGTCATTGCCTGGAAGGTCAGCTCGTGCAGCACGGGAGAGACTGGGTCAAACCCACGATCCACGATCAAGAGCTGAGAGCGAGCTTTGTCTGGGCCCTGAAACCACAGGCATTGATTGTAGCGAGGAAACATGGACTGCAGAACACGCTCACACTCACCCTCTCTCATGCACACACTCACTCACACCCTCTCTCATACACACCCTCACTCACTCACACCCTCTCTCATATACACACACACTCACTCACACAGTCACACATTTCCCCCCTGGATGTGTGTGAAGGACAAAGAGAGAGACATAGAGAGAAAGACTTGCCTCCCCCATAGTTGGATCGTCAGCTTTGTAAGCGTCTAATTTGTCTTGGACCAGCTGTGCCAGCATGGCGTTCTCTTTATAATCACTGTGGATGGAAAAGGCAGAACATCACAGGAAATCCACAGGATGATCTGCTGTTCACTGCTCTTTGTGGAAAGTCTCGCCAAGTGTAACACAGCACTGAGAGGAAGCTCCAGAACGTCCTTCAATACAAGCGTTGGAACCAGCGTCTCATGTTTAACTATCTCCCAAATGTCGAATGCCAAGGCAGGCTCCGTCTCCAGCCATAAAGACATGTGGCTGGCTGTGGTCATACCCTTGCTTCTCACTACTGCTGCACAGACGCATACACAAACGCATGAACACGCACACATGTGCAAGAACATACATACACTGTATCTGCCCCTGTATCTGCCCCGGTATCTCACCCCCGGTATCTGACGGCAGGATACTCCTTCAGCGTAGCACACAGGGTTGCTATTTGTTCGGCCAGCCTCTCGAGGAGGGGGGTGCGGAGCTGTGCCTTGTGAGGGCTGTAGAAGCTCTGGAATGAATCCGGGACGTCCAGTGAGTAAACCTGAGGAGGAGAAGATTCCAAGTTTGTCCACGTCTATGTTTGGGAAACTCCATTAGGTCAGATGTGACCGTAGTTCAAACCATTTTGGTGAAGTTTCTACAGGAAGGCCTTTGAGTCAGTCAGTCAGTCAATCAGTCCCTCCCTCCTTCCCTTGGGCTCCCGTCAAGAGCAAAATGTAAACATTGAGATGGCACAAAAGCTGGAAACTGGAATTACAAAGACAGGAACCTGACTAACATCCTAAAGGGAGACTGGAATAATATATAGATCTGAACCTGTGGATCAAAGTGTTGCTGAATGTTTCTTTAATATCACTGAACCGTCTGCCTCCATCACCCGCCTCCCACCCACCTCCTTCCCCACCTCGTGTCTGTAAAACAGGAGACAAGGCTGCTTTATAATAAGACGACTCCTGTGCCAAGCCGTTGGGTTTGCCTCGCTACCTGTATTTAATTGGAAAGCCGCATAATTACACAGTAAACCTGCCCTGACACAAGCTGTTCTGTAGCTGCCCTAAAGCAATCAGAGAAACTGCGATAAGCACAGGCACATCTGGTGGCCATCATGTGACCCCCCTTTCACAGTGTAACCATCACACACCCCCCACAGCTGACAGATGGATCCTGTGGGTTCTTAATAATCCTAAAAATAATCCTTGGTACCAGTGTCTTTCACGACAGCAAGACGCCTCAAAGCACTTTGCGTGGATTTACTATGACATATAGTGACTGTGTGTTTTTGTAGGCGAATGTCCTTCATTGTTCACTCCCGCCTCACCACACCCACCCCCCTTGATCTTTACTGCTCTAAGCCAATGTCTCAGCAGAGAGGTGGAGTGGGTAAGGGAGGGCTGGAGTGGCAATGTTGAGAGACTGGATGACACAGGGAGAGCGACAGAGAGAGATGGTTGTCCAGAGAGGTGCACAAGGACTGTTAGCCCCTGCTCTCTGGAAACTGTAGCGAGGAGTCAGACTGAACAGAGAGATCTATTCGGTATGTGTCTGTGTTGTCAATTTAGATAAGATGCCTATTTGGTTCTGTGGAATTATCTCCCCGCCGCTGTCTTGTGAGATTGCGGAGAATGAAACAATGAGAGTTGTCTGATCTCAGCCGGCAGAGGTGTCTGTCTACTCTATCATCTCAGCCCTCGAGAGGCTATGACTCACCTGTGATTCATATGGAAGGAAGGCGATGTTGATTTCTGTGAGAGTTTTGATGACCTTGGATGTGCGGGACTTCACCAGCTCGTTAAACAGTGGATCTGAGCAGGCTGAAAGTTCGGAAAAGATGATCGTTTTATTTTCTGGATGGGGTGGATTAGGGTTAGCCTAGAGACTATGGGTTCAAAGACCCCATGTGATGGGGGTTCGAACCCACAACTTTCTAGAATCAGAGGCGAGAGTGCAACCGCCTAAGCCAGGTTGGGGACCCAGACAGGGAGATGATTTGCTACTTATTATTATTTGCCCTGAGGAAGTGTCACTCAGAAATCCCCTCAGCTGCCTTCCTCCGCCAATACTACTGCTCAACAACAACAACAACAAAATTACATTCATAGAGTGCCTTTCACGTCGGGAGGACGTCCCAAAGTGCTCAGAACTTCCAACAGGGCCCAGGACATCAACAAAGTAAGAAAGAGATAAAGGAACAAACAAGGCTGAACAGACAGAGCGATCTCATCAAATATACAAGAGAATGCTGGCCACAGAGCGGGGCTATATATAAACCCAGCAACATACAATTTCACAATAACACCTTCAATTCAAATGAGCTCCCGGTGTGAAAGGTGTTGAACGGAGTGTAAGGTTTATTATCTGATCCAAATGGCGAATATAACAGGGTCGGGTAATTCGTCCAGGAGGAAGAACTGTGTGTGTTTGTGTGAGTGTGTGTGGGTGTGTGTGGGTGGGGGGAGTGGGGGGGGTGGGGGAGGGGGCTCAGGGGGTGTCTGTACTTACAGTCTGTAAAGAAGACATGAGCTGCCCTGTACTTGGAGGTCGGAGGGTCCTTGAAATCATTGATCAGCGCACGCACAGACTGAAACAGACAAGACTCTTGTCAGACAAACTGCAGGTAAACGGGGCCAAGATTCACTTTTCATACTTGCAGGGAGGAGAATGGTAGCAAGACATAAACAACGACAAAAAAATTGGATTCACACATCGCCTTTCCCATCAGGAGGATGTCCCCAAGGCGCTGGACAGTCAAGGGTTTGCACCCAAGCTGGGTGATAAACAACAACAACAACACAGATTTGGACAGTCTTTCACATAGGAGAATGTGCCAATGTGATACAACAAGCCTTAAAAGCGAGAGTGAGAGCGACGAGTGCATTTGCAAGGCAACAGCTCATCATGTACCTCTTCAGACGGTGTGATCAGGTAAACTGCTTCCAAGCTGGGGATGGGCTCTCGACGTTTATTGATGTCTTCCACGACTTTGGGTAAAGCCATCATTGGGACGGAGGAAGGGACAAATCAATCCGAGTAAAACAGTGGCACAGAAGTCAGAAACTAGCCCCCACACCACACCCCCCACTGCCCAGCCCCCAACACTCAGCTCAACAGTCCCGGCCCCCACCCTGAAACAACCAGCCCCCACCCCAACTCTCTGCCACCAACCCCAGCTCCATGGCAAACACTTCACCCCACGCCAGAGATCACCAAAGTGTGGTCAAAGAGATAGGTCTTGAGACGGACTTTGAAATGACCTGGAAAAGTCACTACACGTAATGGTGATTCAGGTCCCAAGAGTATGATGACAAATAGCACGTGGCGAGGAGCCCGCCCTGGTAACTCACTTGTAACACCTTCGGTCATGATGTCCGTCATCTTGCAACAGGACGAGAGCATCCTCATGCTGAGCTGATCGACAACCAACACCTGGAGAACAGACAGACACACACAGAGCAGTGCATCAGTGAGAGCCCAGCCTGCCACCCCCACACTCTCCTCCCTCTCTCTGTGCCCGGACTGTATTAGCACCCCAACAACCCCATCCCCCACGCCCCACACGCCCTGACGGTAAGTATGTGAGCAACCTCACTTCGCCACCACCCCCCCGCCCATTAGTGACTGACCTGACCTTATTCCCTCCACCTCCCTGCTCCCTGGGATGTAGGTGACAAACATTTTACGATGTCGCAAAAACATCACCCGTTTCACCTGCTAATAAACACGACAGAATAGCGCAGCATGTACTCCAAAAATGTCCGTGGGTCAGCCTCTGATTTAAGGCTGGGGATCAACGTAGAAATGTACGTTTCACCTCATCGCAAAGCATTCTCCCCCTGCCCCCTCTCACCTCCCCCCCCCCCCCGCCCCCCAAATACAACATCAATACATCAACACACCACCACAAAGAGCAGGCAGGACATGCATAGGCTGATACCTTCCATTCTCCCTTCTTCTTCACCTTCTTGATCACATCGTTCATGATCTCTGTGGCCGGAAAGAAATGAGAACTTAATCCATTTTAAGAAAGTACTAACAAATCTACAGGCTGCAGCGCAAACACAATCCACTCACGTCCTTTGCTGGCTTTCTACAGGGAAAGCAACATCTTGCATATATCTAGTGCCCTTCACGTGGGATAGCGTCTCAGAGCGCTTAACTGTAGCAGCAACTGATGCTGAGCCAGGGAATGGTCCAATGTCTCCGGCTTTGCCCAAGTCCCCATCCTGTGACAGGAAGAGCTTTACTTATGTGCTGACTCTGCAGTTTAGACGCCAAATGAATTCCTGCACATTGACAAGAAGCTGAGAGGTTCTGTGAGGTGTGCCTCTGACTCACTGTTTTCTGACCAAGCGCATGAACAGGACATGTAACAGCAGATCGTGTAATTAATCTTTTAGTCCATTCCAAACCCGACCCCCTGCTCTCTCCTCTTTCTCTCTCCCCTCCACACATACTAAGCCAACATCAGCAGATTCTGTGGAATGAATCTATTACCAACAGCAATTCCATTTATTTGGGATCAATTTGGGATCAGATATTTGGTTTGTTATTTGAGATCACATCCCTTCTTTCCGTCTGGCCTCCTGTTTGTCTCTCGTCCCCTCCACTCCACCAGCAGTGGCCGTGCTTTCAGCCACCACACCCCAAAGCTTTGGAACTCTCTCCCCCAATCCCTCCACCTTTCCCACTACTTCCCCTCTTTTAGATCACGACTGAAGACCTTCCTCTTCGACTGTGCTTACAGACACCTCCTCCCTCCCTCCCACCAGCTCAGAGTCAGCACTGTGAAGCGCTCCGAGATGCGTGAAGGGCACTATATAGTTGCAAGTTGTTGTTGTTGTCTCGCTGGCCGGCAGGACTGCTGGCTCAATGGAAACGGAACGAGCTGGCCACGTGCGTGTGCTAAACCCCAGGAAACTCCATCTCCCTTTGTCTGGCTCATGAATGAGCTTGTGGTTGTGGAGCAGGGCCAGTGATTAGTAGCAAACGTACAACCATTTGACTAATCTCTTCCAATACCCTGCTCTGCTTATCACCCTGCTCTGTTTATTCGTTTACAGTCCCTTAATCAGTTTCTCTCTCATTCTCTGTGCTCCAATCATGTCCCCGCTCCTGCTCTATTTGTATCTGACGCTGAGAGAAAAGGAAGGGATTAAATCCAATTATAGAACTAAAAGACTTCAGTGGCTTGAAGCCTGAGCACAGAGGCAATTCCTTAAACTGAAATCCTCTTAGCTCCCAGCACAAGTAATTTCCTCAACAACAGGAAATGATGCTGTAGCCCCACAAGAGGATAAAACTGTATGTAATGTAAAAGAAGACAACAACAACTTGCATTTACCATTACATTTAAAGGGCATTTACTATTCTCCTAGTGTCCTGGCCAACAATTCCCCCCACCCCCACCCAACCCCGGATAAAACTAACTCCTGTTTTGTGTGATAATTAGCACATCAAATGGGAACAAATTTTTACTGCCGCACGCAGAACAAAGAAAAACGTTCAGCCCATCAGATACGACACTTCCACCGTCAGGCAAAGCCTGGTAACTGTCGCTTAAGAACTAAAACGTGTCTTGTAATATCAGCATGACATTTGTAACTCTTTGGTGCTTAGGGAGAGCTCCACCGTTTGTGTAGATTGGTTCGTCATTGCCAATTTGTTCACTGAGGGATTTTCTTTTCTTTCTGACTTTGTGTCACGACGAAACAATAAAACCATGAACCGATCTGATCTTACCAATCTCTCCGCGGAGCTGAAGTCGATAAAACAATGTGACTACAGCCCATTTTACACCTATCCTTCAATACTGGCACTAGGTAGAAGAATCTAATGATTTGACTGCCTAGATTTCGGTCTCATTTGCCTTCACTATTTCCATTCAGAACGAACATGATCAGGCCCGGAAATGTCTGTGACCCTAAAGGATAAACTGAGTCATTTGTCGATGTATTATTGATCATAATCCAGCCCAGAACCTGAGGCGCATTGTTAGAGGTGACGTCCATCAATGGTGGTGTCTGCCTGTTCAGGTGGGCGGTTAAAGGTTGCATTATAGCAGCGCTATTCAAAAAAGGAAAGCAGTTTCTCTCTCTCTCGCTCAGTGTACTGGTCAACAATACCCAAGAAAAAATTGGTCACTCACTTCATGGCTGTTTGTTGGACATTGCTGTGCAATTTGTGCAAATACACTAGCTATTCGCTTTCTCTCCTCTCTTAAGTCTTGTGCCTTGGGAGACAAACATGGCTCCTGTGCGGCAGACGTAGTTGTTAATCTGATTAACTTGCATTCGGCTCATGGCTAAGCTGACTAAAGGCAACATCCTCCTGAAAACTCAGGGCAAATACTGTGTTGACTTGTCAGCAATAAATCACAGGCTTTCTCAACCTAGTCTTTGCCTGTGGAACACTTCACCTTCAATTTTAAGATTGCACCAAACGGTGGAAATTCTTCAATTCAGTCTTGATTTAGTTTCTAAGGATTGTGAGAAAACGCTTTCCAAATTACATTCAGCCCAAAAAACACAGTCACTACACTTTACAGTATACTCTGTGACTTGATCTGATGTGAAAGGCTCTCTATCAAATGTAAGGAATATTATTATTAAGTGCTCCAAGACCCGGCCCTGGGTGAAGGGCGCTATATAAAAGCAAGTTATTGTTGTATTATTATTGTGCGCAAATTGGCTGCCGTGCTTGGCGACAAATGACACAGTCACCATGTTGTACAGTAAGTAAGATCATGTGGAGCTCTCTGAGATGTGCTTCCTGACGAGAATGGCACTGCATGGAATGCAGAATCGAGTCATTGTGATTCTTTCACCACTTGGAAGTTTCTCCGGGTGTAGAAGAGGCAGAAATCTAAAGCTTACTCAAATAAGCTGCTTTGTTTTATGCGCTTCACAATTGGAGATTAGCCGTGAGAGGGATGAAAAAAGGAGTGGTCCGGCCTGTCACAAACAGACACAAAAGAGCGGAACGCTGTAAATCCTGGATTAGGTCGATCAACAAAGCACGTAGTGAATGGGGAGTCAACCAAAGTCTGCCCTTTAGTGGAGCAGGACTGCAGCTGCCTGAAATTCCACCCCGTCTTAGGCTGTGTGGCTTTTCCTTCCAAGAAAAAGTCTCAAAATAATAACGAGTATTAATAATAATAGTATTCCATTTGCTGTGCTTATTGTAACAGTTTGTGACAGTAGCCCGGAAAAAGCCTGGAAGAGAAGGAAAAAATATACTGTTGTGTCCACAAATCTAAATGCAAATAAATTTTGTTGCTCAATCCACGACACTGGGATGTGGGGACGCTGCTGTGCGCAATTGGCTGCCACGTTTCGCCCACAAAATATACGGTCGATTCACTTTACAGTATATCCTGTGAAGTGCTTTGAGACGTCTCAACAAGGTGATAAGGCGCTGCGTTAAATGGAAGGATTATTATTATTATTATCTGGTTTAGCAAATCCTGGGGTGGATTTGCACATCAGCCTTCCATTTGCAAACGTCGCAGTTCAGAATGCTTGAATGTCCCCTAAAAATATCCTTGATGTACTGTTGGCAAATTGGTAGTCGTCTCTTCTACTTATTTTGCTCAAAATGTAAATCACATCCCTGCTGGACAATCACAATTATTCCTGGATCTCGTGAAAAGGTGGGAAAAGGCATCTGTTCCCTGGTCGCCTTGTTTGGTGTGGAGTTAAACCGTGCCCTTGTCTTCTCTGCTATCGCTCTGCCTCATTACTGCAACATCAGGCAAGCGTCAGTCAAATTGACAGCTTCCGAGTGGAATATTAATCAACTCTAAAGGTATATGTTTAAAAATAATCATTTTGCAGAAAATTAAGATTAAACGGCTGAATCGATTTAAACAAGGCACTGGTGCATTCAAGTAAACACAGGGTGTCTGTCTGTCTCTGCAATAGGATAATTGCAAGCACTTGTTTAGTGGAACAAGAGTAAACCAAACCAGTGACTAATTTGTCCAGTTTCAATCCCTAGAAAAAACACTTTGCCTGAAATTATCAATTGTGATCATTGTTTTGGTAGCTATTACATTGAATCCAATTGTTGCTTTTAACATAGAGTGGCAATGAAGTATGCCCCCTCTAGGTTTTTTCCTCCTTAACGCATCCACAAAGTACTACAGTAATTGGAAGATCTACACTTTAAAATCAGGGGTTTCGAGCCCCCACATCGACAACTTGGAGCTCACAGTCTAGGCCGACACGGGGGGAGCCCAGCACTGTTGTTGGAGATGCTGTCCTTCGGATGTGACGTCAAACCTAGGGCCCAGCTGTGCCTGTTCAGGAGGAGGGGAGCGAGGGAGGGGGGTGGAGAGGTGGTGGGGGGGAAGGGAAAATCCACAGATCTGTAATAACCCTAATCCAAAATATCTGTAATAGCAACAAAACGCAAGGCAAATTTAGAATCAAACTTAAAAACAAAATCTTTTCCAGTTGTGACTGACAACAGGGCTTTACTGCTGCCCTTTGAGACACGCATGCTGTATCCGAAAGGCATGACGTAACTGCAAGATGTTGTGGTGACTCTCTGTGAGTTACTGACCTCGAAGTGTAGTGACTGTGAGGAGAAAGGTCTGGAGGTGGTGGGCTTTAAACTGGATGAGATGTTAAACCAAGGTCCCGTCTACCTGTTCAGGTGGATGTTAAAGATCCTGTGGCGCTATTCGAAAAGAGAAGGGAGTTTCTCTCTCCCAGTGTCCTGGCCAACAATCCCCCCAAATAAAAACCGATCTTTCGTTTCATGGCTGTTTGTGGGACGTTGCTGTGTGCAATTGTGCATTTTCCTACAAATACGCAGTCACTCCATTTCACAGTAAATCCTGTGAAGCGCTTTGAGACGTTCTTCTGACATAAGGCGCTATATCAAATGCAAGGATTATTATGATTATTATTATCCTTCCCCTACTCTCTGAAACTCAAACTCCAATCAGTGTCTCTCCATCTTGCCTGCCCCCTCCCCCACCC